CCACCAGGGCGTGGTGTTCTGTATAAGCTTTAAATCCTTGGCCTGCGTTGGCTTTGGTCACAGGGACATCCTGCTTTGTGCCGGCACGACCAACCTCGAAGCTTGGAAGAGCTCAGCCACGTGCAGCAGTGTATGCGCTGCGCAGTGCATGCAGCGCGGCTTCCGTGGCCGTCTCGTTCACTTCCTGCATCAGCTGGCCAAGCCTCGGAGTTCGCAACTGCAACCCACAAAGCTCGTGCAGACGCGCGCCAAAGCTCCGAGCCCAACTTCGGCGCCGTGAATCAGAATCCATGAATCCTGCGACACATGCGTCACGCGTACTGTAACCTGTAGTTGTCATGTTCGCAACATGTCATGGGCGACCGAGGGCAGAGTGTCGCATGATTGAACTTCTGCTCCGATGATTCGGTACCTTCTTTCCGTTGGGCTTAGGGATCCCTCATCCGTGACAGGACTCTGGGCTTTGGAAGCGGGTCGGCTTTGCCCTTGGATCGAGTACAAAACCATTGCAAAGAGACCAGGCCACTTGTGTAAGGGATACCAGTTTTATTCCAGAGTTTGTGCAGAACACTAAACGCCCAGTTGCTCCCAGTCCCGAATCTCTTTGGAGACATCTAGCGAGCTGCTCCGGCTCAACTGCAGCCAGCCTTCGCGCAGCACTGCTGCAAGTGGCAAGCGGCATGGACAAGCTACTTGCTCTTGCCTGAACGCCGCCATCCTCGCACACGTTCTCCTGATTTGAGAACACCCAGCGTCCTCGCGCAAAGCTGACAGGGACTGACAGGGTTCAGCCCAGTTTCTCCCTCCCTATGGCCTACCCTTCACGCTGGCACGGTCACGGACAAAGACCATTGCATGCACAACCTGCACAACAGCTTCCCTATAGCCTCATACCACACTCACAGGACAAGAAAAAGTGGCCACGTGTTTTGCCAGGCAAAGGCCTGAAACGTTCTTAAGTTCTCATCATCCTCGGGAGGCCCACCAGAGTTGGGCTCAGGCTGCTTCGCGACCTGCACCACTTTTGCAGCTCTGCCTCGGCGTGATGCCGCGACAGACGCCTCGATACGTTCGTGCGCTTCGAAGGACTTGCCGCAGCGCACACAAATCGCTTTGTGTACCAGGAAGTTTGCATTGGCACCGACCGATGCCATCGCATCCAAATCTGCTACGTAGCCACGGCATTGGCTACTTTCGCACCCTCCACGAGCAGCACCAAAGGGATCGATGCTTCTCGCTGGCTCTGCCTCCTCCTCTTCAGTTAGAGGGCTGCCTGTTGTAAAATCTTGCCAAGGACCCATCAGCCGAAAATCCGCTTGCCCTGCGCTTTGTGCAGCCACGCGAACTCCAGCTCGCAGCTGGACTGCGGCGCCCGGAGGCAACCCATGCAGGGTAGCACCTGAGCTTTTGCTGAAGTGTGTCAAGCCTATGTAGGATCTGGCAAAGTGTTACATGTTACATCGATGAAGTTTACAGTTTAGGGCAAGTATGTCAGTGCCCGCCATGGCACGCGGCTGGAGACTCAGGGCGTACCCACTCTTCTTGAAGTCTTGCCCATCTCCTGCGCCGATAGGTAGCTCCTCGCCCGGAGTGAGCCTCCATTCGATGCTGTAAGCTGCAACATATGGGGGCTTGGGGGCTGCAAGACCTGGCCAGCTCACCACCAAGGCTTCACTGAAGACTTCCTCAGCTTGCAGCTGTGCCCAGGCCGGACTCAGGAAAACCTCCTTTGCAGAACCAGCACTTTTGATCGGAGCCCAACACTCGCCTCCAGCGTCCGCGGACGCTACCCGAATCCAGCTGGCATTGCCAGGAAACCCCATGACCGTCTGTCCCGCACGAAATGATCCTCCTGGTGCGGGCAGGGCCTGTGGTGCTGGCTCGCAATATGCTGGGGTTTCAGCTACCACAGTATATTCGACAGGTCTGGCCAGAACCTCCTCCGCAACCATAGCTGCACGGCGTATGGCAGCTTGACGAGCCTTCTGAGCAGGCCCCGCTTTTTTGGTCTCAGAGCTTGGCATGCCCGGGCTCCCTTCGCCCACGGGCTCAGGCTCGGGTCGCTGAGGCTCCGAAACCAACGGTTCCGTCGCTTCTGCCGCTTCCGCTTCTGCGGGACCTTCCGCTGCTGCTGCCAGAGGCACCTCTTCCAGGAGAGCTCCCAGGCCCCAGTCCTTGCCGTCCACCAGCACGTACATGGGGCCCTCCACCGCTTCTTTTTGCGAGTCTTTCTCAACTTGGAGCCACTCACCACTCAGAACCCCGAACACGCGTTCCCCCAAGGCCAGCCGACCTTTCGACGCAGACTCACTACTCCGACCTTCACGAAGGAAAACGCCGCCACGATGCACTACCTCAAACCAGGAGCTATGCCCAGGCTGCATCGTCTTTGCTTCATCTCCTGTGTCTGATCTCTCGCGACTGCCTTTGGAAGGCTCCGTCGCAGCATCAGAGCTTGCACTGATCTTCTCAGCTGGAGCAACGCTCTCAGATTCCTTCGGGCAGGCGGCTTCGTGATCCACCGCTTCTGCCGCTTCTGCCGCATCCGGAGAAGCGACAGGGAATTCAGCTTCAGCTTGCAGCTGCGCCTCCTGGGCCTCGGCCGTCTGAGACACCTGCACCTCCTCTGGCGGCTCCGGCGGTTCTGGCGGCTCTGGCGGTTGCTCCACCACAAAGTCAGACTGCCAGGGGCTCGTGATGTGCAAACTCCTCTCTTGGTCATTCACGAAGGCACCTCTGTTTCGACCCCAGACCCGACAAACCCAGCACGTTCCCCAAGAGCACATCCCAGAAATGGCCCGCGACTCTTACATCACCATGGCATCCCGTCTGAGTCCGCGGCTTATTCGAAACTGTACGTCCGCAGGACATGTCACGAGTGTGCACTCCTCAGCGTTCAGAAACTCACATCCAGAGGGACACCCCCCCAACAAACCAAAGACAAGCCAAGGAGCAGGGCGAGGAGTCAAACCGCAGCCCAGTGCTATGTCTGCGCCACGCTTGGTCCACTCCAGAGCATAGTAGACCGTACTCAAAGGAGAAACTGCCAGACCTGGCCAGCTGAGGTGCAGGACACCAGAGGGCGTCTGGGAGACTTTCAGTCGGCTCCAGGACGCCTCAAGCACCGGACGTCCAGGATCTTGAAACACCCAGTGTGAGATGAACTCAGTATTGGTCTCCGAGGCCACCAGGCGAATCCAATGGTGATGACTTGGATAGCCAACCAAAGCTTCTCCCTGGCTGATTGCCATTCCATGCATGTTTTCCCCGAGTTCTGCTGGACTGGCATAGCACTGGCACTCGCGCATCGCACGATACTCTATGCCTTGCCCAAGCAATTTCTCAGCTTGCCGGGACGAGTGCTCCATGCCACCCGTCTCGTCCTCTGTGGTCCTGGCTTCCTTCTCGACCAAGCTCTCAGCGGAGATCCAGGCTTCGGCTTCACCGCCCAGGAGCAGCTGCTCCTTACTCTCCTCGTCCAGCTTCAACCACCCAGACTTCACAGTGCCTCAGTCGGAGCGGGAGCCAAGGCAAAAGAACGCTTCACAGCAAAATCCCCCTGTTATCATGTACTGCATCTGCTCCCTGACTGAGTCGCAGCCAGATACCACGGTGCCTGAGTCCAGTAGTCCTGCACGCATCAGCAAGACAGCTCGCGCATGGCGCGCTGACAAAACCTCGCGCCTCTTGAAGAAGCCGATAGGGATGGTGCAGACAGTATGTTGATTGCTGTCGGCGAGAAGAACACCTTTGAAAACCGAGCCGAGGATGCACATAGCTGGCATAGCGGTCTTAATATCATCTCTTGCTTTCCGCCCTTCTGACGAGGTCCCGACCTTCTCCTCAAGACTTTCGTGCTCCGGCTGGACGTCTGACTGCACGGATGCCTGTGTTGGCATGCCATCCCCATCACATGCGGTCTAGTGACTAGTGCAGCCACTATCCATCCAATACATGGTTCTTGCAGGAAGAAGCAGGAGCGTTATCGTGCTGACGGAAACGCGGCGCTCTCTATGCCGCGCTTAGCCGAACCGCAATTGCTGGCGTGCTGTACATGGCTGGTCTGCTAAAGCAGCATTGTGACTGGGGAAGTGGTTGAAGCTGTCTTCCGACGTTGGCCCTTACTAGTCGTTACAAGGAGTTCTCTTCTGCGCTGTTCGGCTTCGGGCAAGCCGTTGCAAGCTACCTGCCTGAGGCCTTGTCTTGCATGGATCATGTAGCAAATTTAGCATCGACCTTGTTTGTACACTCCAAACGGGACTGACAATGATACAATGGTCCTGCGCAGAACGGCTGCATCTCAGCAAGTACGGGCTCACCTGCTCCACCGAGGATATGATCTGGGCACCGGTGAAGTCCTCCATGCCCTGCGTAGATTTGCCACGGCCATCGAGGGGCTTTGCTGCTCAAGACTTTGAGTCTCTGAGAGGCCTCGACCATGTCGGCTTGGACCTCCACCTGAGGCTCATCTTCGCCTCGCAGGGAATCCACACCCGTCGCGGGAAGTGCTTAAGATTTGTAGGTGCACCATCTTCGGCTTCCAGGAAGTCTTCCCAACGGGCATTGTCATCCACATCCTTCAGACGTGACCATGAGGACTCAGACCCTCCTCTGCACTCTTTCACTTTGATTCCGGTCCTCCTGGCAACGTCCATCTGCCTCTGTGCTTGCCTCTGCTTCCGTGGGATCCTGGGCAGACGCTTCCTTCAAAACAGGGCCCGCTACATGCCGCTCACCACAGAGATGCATCTCGGGCCTTCTCTGGCACAAGCTCCTCCCCCATCCTGTCATCATCCTGTTCCTCTGCGCACAAACCGCGCACGGAGCTCAGTTTCGCTTGTCAGATTTGCACAGCATGCTTCATCTTGAGGCCTCTTCCGCTTCCATATCGCTGGCGTTCGCAGCATCTGCCGACTGGACAGATTCAACCTTGGTCCATCTGAAGCTTTGCACCGTCCCACATCATGCTAGCGCAAGGACAGAAGCCTCCTCCTGGTCCTGCTCCTCCTCCTCCTGCTGCACGAAGCCGTCAGGGTCAGAGGCATCGGGCTGGTTCTTGTTCGCCTTGCACGACAATCGCTCGACAACTCTGTGATGCAAGGCTCTCTGATGACCTCGGAAGCTTCTTGCTCCACGTCCGCATCTGGCGAGACTTCTCGCGACAACGAAGCAAGATCCCGTATCACAACTGGCCACAGCCAAAGAGGCCTGCAGAGATCTGCTCCTCCTCATACGAAAGAGAGGCAAATCAAACAAATGCGATGCATGTATTGGTATTTACACGGAAGAACCACCCCAACACCTTGGCACCAGCCAGCCTCAACCACAGCACTGCACAGTGACCACTACTTGATTGCATACAACTTCGCAAGTGACTGTCTCGATATCTGAAACTATATCGCGGCGGCAACGACCACAAGCATCTGCAATTGCTCAGGGTGCTCTCCTTGACTGGAACAGGCTCTCCTTCGAGCTCTATGTGCTCCTACAGAGGAGCCAACAAGTCACAACGCTCGCCGTAAACTCTTCGGTTCACGCCAGTGCACCGCAACTGCATGACAAACAGAACACTCCTCATACGAGCAGCCGCAGCGGCGACATTGCTCAGCGTGTGTTGAGTGCAGCGTAGTCGCAGCCAAGAAGCCTGCTAGCAATCGTAGAGCAAGTTCGCTGGGGGAAGGTCATGCTGTCGTCCCCTGTTAAGGGTGGCTCCGCTGCACGAGGATCGCAGGCATCCACCTCGGTAGCCTGCAACAAGTGTTCAAGCTGGAGATGGTGTTCACGATCGTTGCAGATTCGTGCTCTCCGAGCCTCCAAGAAGGTCACGATCTCCAAGAGCCTCACGTCGGTGAGCGGATGGGAGCATCGAGGGTCAAACCTTCCGTCCTTCACATCCTCTCCGGGCAGCGGCGAGGCCGTCCGAATCTCTGTCCTGCCGGCCCGCATGAAACTCTCTCTGCAGTTGAGATTTCGAGATCAGGAGCTCCAGGGACCCAGTATCTCCAGCTCCACGAAGTCGATTTGTGGCCCAGTCACGCTGGCAAGAACTCGAACCTGCATCAACTTATGCCACATCTAAGGCACTTCTGTGCTGCTGTCCACAGATGGAGCCTGGATGCACGTGGCCTGGGGCAGGCCGTGCACCAACGCACGTGACGACGTGCACCTCGTTTCCCGAAGGCCGAAAGGACCAGAGATGACTACGGAACGGATAGGCGGATAGGCTCGGCTCGACCCGGGGCTGGCACTCCAAGTCGCCCGGCCTCGGACCGTCCTTGCAGCGCAGCACCGCATCTCCTCTTCTCCCTGAAGCGCTGCAGCCCGGGACCTCCGTCTGCATCTCCTCAGGCCGACAAGCCGATTTTGTGCGAGCCCATGCTCTCAAAGTGGACATGACCGAATTCTTGCCAACTTCTCAGGCTGCTTTTGCTGGCCAGGAGGATGTCCAGCCAAAAGACTTAAAAGACAATCCTATCTACACATCATGACGCCCGGGTTTGTCCTTGGGCAACCCGGGCACATGACACCGTATGGGATGCCGTCGCATGAGACTGCCGGCACGACTTGTCCCATCTGTCCGTGTTCAAAAGCATGGCGGGAGTTCCAAAATTTCTGTGCTCTCTAAAGGTAAACCTACGGAGTGAGACCGAGTGTCTCAAGATGGAAGTTGTAAGGAGCATCTTTTTGATGTAAGGTGGAAAACCGTCCCAGACTATAACTCTCGGGATCGAGATATGGCTCGCGTCCAGCAATGAGGTCTGCCACAAGTTGTCCACTTCCGGCTGCATGTGTCCAGCCTTCGCAGGAAGGCTCTTTTGCATCGGCCAAAAATCACTGTCACATGCTACTAACATGGCTTGTGTTGGCGTACGCTGACCTTTAGAACCATGCCCTGTGTTCAAGAAGAAGTTCGGCTTCGCTTCGCCGATGATGGGGACATCATCGGCACTGAGAGGACGCAGGCCAGTGTGGTACTCCGCTCGGTCCCAATCCAAACCTTGCTTGAAATGACAGACACACAAGCCGCAGCTCCTGCTAAATCTCACTCGCGTCTTCCGTGCACGAGCTCCAGTCGAGTCGGCCGTCGACGTCCCTCCCAATAGACAAGAGAAATTAACAGACGTGCATGCGTTAACACCGTACGACCGAAGCCGAAGCCTTTACAAACCCACAGCGCAAGCGACAGGGGACAGGAGCTTAAGCAAACTCCTACATGACAACTATCCATTACAAAGCTCCAACTACTTGCACGACGGGGTTTTTCCAAGTACCCCAGCTCCACCACGTCAGATGCGAGGGGCAGTCTGGCAAAAGCTTCTCTGCTTGCGCTGCCAAGATGGTCGCCCGATCAAGGTCAACGGAAGAATCGAACCCTGCAAATTCGGCGAATCCGGTAATTCGAACCAAATCAGGGCCCAAAGGTGCAAGGTACAGCTTGCTTGAATCCTGGACAACGTTAGAAGAGAGCTGCTGGACTCCAGGCTTCAGTGGGACCGTGATGGCATATCCCTTTACAGGAGCCATCGGCAATCGCAGGCCAAGCATGGCCGCCAATCCAGGGCTGCCAACACCGGCACAAAGAATTACATTCCTTGCCCGAATGGGTTTCTGCTCTCGCAACACGACCTCCCAAAGCCCACTCTTCTTTTGAAAACCTTGCACGGCAGAATCGTACTCGAAGCCAACACCGAGCTCTTGGCATTGACGCTCTAGGAAGTGAGTGAATTTCGCGCAATCCCCGTTGGTATCAAGAGGTGAGTAGAGGTAGAGTGCCTCGAGGCCCTGCCGACGTAGCCTTTCGGCGAGGTTGTCGCCAGCGCCCTCCATGTTCTCGTCCCGGACCACGTTTAGCGGAACCCCGGCGTGCTGGATCTGCTCAGATGCATCTAGACATGCCTGCAAGGCTGCCTTGTCCTCAAAGACCTCGGAGGCGGATGCAAGGCTTGGGGATATCCTGCAAAGGGATATCAGTAAGGGCTGCTTTCTTACTTTGCCGACCATCCCGGGCCTGAAGGGTCCCTTTTGCCTTCCGATCCATGTAACCGTTCAGCTCCTGATGGCTCCGCAGCAGACCCTCCAAGCAGTGCCGGGAGTAGCGCGCCATGTTCGCCAGACGTCTCGTGGTCCTCTTGCCATGACCTGGCCGACAGGATGCCAGGTAGTGCAGCCCAAAGAAATACGTATCGGAAGATAAAAGGGCTCTGGGATGGACTTTCAGCGGATGCCCATGCTGATAAAAGGACTTGAAGACCTTCGGGATCAGTTGAGGCCCAGTCCAGGGCAGCCTTTGGCAAGCTTTGCGTCTGAGGAGTGCTTTGGGGCTCAGGGGTGATTAGTGATTAGGGGCCAAGACAAGGGCTGCTTTGGGTTTCATGGCTTTCGCCAGGCAACATAAGGGATGGGCAGATGAGGGTGCCATTGATCCAGCTGGAGCCTTGGGCAGGTCCGGAGCTCTGATCCAAGACCTTCACGCGGCGACCCTGTCTCGCCAGGCTGTAGGCTGTGCAGATTCCGACAACGCCGGCGCCGATCACAAGATCCTCGCACTCCCCACGCTCCGCCGACAAGCTTCCAAGTTGGCGAACAAGGACATGACGTTGTCGGTGGGGCCGTCGTATGAGGCCGTGCAGTCGGTTCATCATGGCGGCCAACGCTAGCAACACGGACAAGTGGGGCCAAGACAAGAGACAAGAGATGTGGAAGTTGATAGAGAGTCGCAGCAACATCACAGCATACTGCTTGGCCGTTGCACACAGAGCTCAGCCCAGGGCCTCCTGGACACCCTGGACAGGTTCTGCCTGCCAGGCTTGCTACCAGCATCTAGCAGCCCGAGTTTCTGGGAATATGCACGTAGCATGCATGCATGTGTATATGCGTATGCGCGCACGCATGCGGCGTCTCTATGTCTGTGTGCGCACATATGCATATGCGCGCTTCATACGCAGACACTACACGCAGACTGTTTTCACAATCGAACTGCCTGGCTCTCGTCGGGCACGCCATCTGTGCTGCTCCTGACAGTTTCCAGTTCCGCTCATTGGATGCCAGGCGTGGGCAAGCACAGCAACGTGTCCTCCACTGCACTGTGTAGGTCACGAATTCGCCAGGAATTCCCGGCCATGAAAACTCGAGGGCCTGCAAGGCTGTCAGCCCAAGGCACGTCCGACAAATCGAGGCGTCGCGGCAGGCTCCTCCAGGTAGGCCATTTCCACATCTATCTGTGCCCAGCCTTTCCAGGTTTCAATCAGGCGAGACGGGGCAACGCACCCGGGACGTTTGCACGTAACAGAGCTCCAGACGAGGGAATACTCGTCCACGCTTGGGGGCCTGAAGTGAGATGCGTGAGCGCGCAGGCATAGCAGGCTCTAGGATAATGGGTGGTGATGGGTGAGTTGGCAAGTCGCACCGCTCTATCTGCTAAGGACTCGGGCACAGAGGTCCAGGCGAACCTCATGCCCATGTCATGTTGAGAAGGTCTTACCAACGGACACGGCAGGTGCACACGCGCACACACAAGGCCGCTGCCCATACCTCTCGCAGGTCGGAATCCAACGCCCCCTGTTCCTGGCCAGTTCAGGGATACGAACTCTTAGAGCCAAGGCAGCTCCGCTGGGTCGCAAAAAACACACACAACGGAGAATCGAAAGTGAAATTTGCAATGCGATGGCAACACATTTCCAGACTAAGCTTGAATTTGTTGACATGCTTTTGAACAAGAATGCGCACCGGTCCATTCCAGGCACCTGGCCGTGATGCCTATGTAGGTGCTGCCCATAGCACATGACATTTTTCGCCCAGCGAAAAGAATTCTTCCGCGGCATGGCCGAAAAGGCAGTACTGCATTTCCACGGCAACTTTTTTCTTGGGACATAATGGCTCTCCCGCGATGCGACATCAAAGACTCCTCCAAGACAAGATTGAAATGGTGCCGGATTCCCACAAGAGAGACGGGTTTGGCAACTAAATGCCGACCATAACAGCATAACACTCATCCTTAATTGCTCGGACGTGAAGCCTTCAATAACCGGGCCGGTCTCCGACTTCTTCGCCAATCGCCAACCAACTACGAAAACCTCCCTATCCGGCACGATGGACAGTTGCCCCTGGTGCAAGAGCTATGCCCTCTGGTCAAAACGATGACGAAAGTTTTTCGACACAACAAACCCTGCTCGCATCCTGCCATCAACTGCGAGACGGCAGATCCGATCCCATGACTGTCGAACAGCTTGGACACGCCTGCCAGACAAGCTCCGGATGTCTTTCCGATCTGAATTCTGCACGATGCGGAGAAGACGACTCGTGTTTAGATCCTACAAGCAGCAGGCGATGCGCAAGTGCTTGAAAAGCCTCCGTACAGAAGTGCTCATGCATGTGCCGTCTACAGATGGGCCACAGCTTTAGCCTGCATGAGCTTGTGCTTGTGCACAAACATGATTTCAAGCATTTCAAGAGCTCTCATCTGCATCACAATTCCCTCGAGAAAATCCGAACGACTGCTTCGATGTGTTGTCGCGCGCAAGCGACATCGTCTCTGCCGTCTCCCAATCGGGGCTAAGCAGTGGTGGTTTGCCTAAAGGGTGCGTGCAGTTGCCAGCTGCAACATGTGCTGGGAAGCGACGGTTCCTGATGGCTTTTGAGCCTTGCCCTCATGATGCAATGCAGCTGGCGGAGATTGTCTTGACTTCTCACTCGTCCCCGCAAGCAACGCCTGCAAACGTGCCACTTCCTGTCGGGTGAGGTGAAGCCAGTCACCTTGAGACCATGGCCCCATGGATGTCAAGAATTGGGGGGGGGAGAGCTTGTGACACCCCGGCCTGCAGGATAGCCCTGCACGGTGCCTGTAATTTTCAGCCTGAGTGATAGCTGTGGCGTGCGGCGGTCTTTCGAGTGCCTCCTCGGTCAAAGGATCCGGCCTCCCTACGTGATTGCCGCAGGGGGCATCGAAGATCTGCAGCTCCTGCTCTTCAAGACCGCAAGAACATCGACTACCACCCGAAGCCCACCACAAACCGGCAGCGAAAAACGCGGTTCAAACCCTCGGCTCCGCAGCCTCGGCCTCGGCCTCTGTCTCGGCCTCGCCAGGAATGCCCACCTGAAAGGACGGCGGAATGACGCGAAACGAGTTGAGGGGACGATGGTAGATGCTCAAGCCGGGCCACATCGTACTCCAGTGGTGCCTGAACGACCTTCCGGCACAGCATCGCAACCGCCACATGCTGAGACTATGATTTCACTGACATGCCTGAAGCTGAGTGGTCTGCGGTTTTGAGATTGCGAGCCAGAGTCTGAAACTTCGATTGGTCGTCTTGCGCCATGGCTGACCCTGATCAGTGGCATGTGCCCCCGCCTGTGTTCGCATCCACCGGACAGAACTGTACTCCAATTTTCTTGTATTGAGGGCTTCTTCTGCAGAGACCCTACTGGTATTGAAGCAGGATTATTATTCACTTTCGCGGGTGTGGAGTCTCCGGGATTCTCCGGGTAGTTTTGGGGCCTTGAGTTTACGCCTCTGCATATCGTGCCGAATCACTGAAGCTACACCTTGCTGGGTTCGGGCTCCGTGTCTAGCCTAGACATCTGGAGTCCGGAACATGCAGCGTGCAAAATGATTCGGATGTGCGAAGACAGGCGTGGAGCAACTGGGTTTTTTTCGCAGGCAAGGCTTTGAACTGCGAGACCTGCACGCTGAGAACACCTCGACAGACCCATAAGCCCTACCAACCAAGCCCCTGTACAAGCCTTTGGCAGCTAGGATTAGGGGGACCCTTGGGGATATAGACCTTTCAATAAGGTCCGTGTTAAGAGAGCCAAAAGTAGGGTTCAGAAGGGGTACCCTTTAAGGGGTACCCCTAATAATACTACCTAGCCTTTTGCGTCCATCCCGAAATGCCACGCCTGAGAACAGAAAACACTGGACCCATGTCATCGAACCAACACCCCAAGCCCAAAACCCGCAACTCCCAAGGCCCCAAAGCCCAAAAACCTTCTATCAGGGCCCGAATACTCAATAACATTATCCCCTTGGAGACCTCATAAAACATAGGATGAACTACCCAAAACCCGTAATTGGGAAGGCTCCACGAGGTGTCGCGCTACTTTTCGACCCCAACGGCAACGTGCGTCTCAACTCGGCGAGACTCAACGGACCTTGCTGGCTGGCCTTGGCAGTCGGGTCACCGGTCAGGACATCGAAGAACGTTAAGCCTTGAGCCGTTGAGCACCAACAGAGAACGCAGCAGCGTGCCCGCAGCGAAGACAGGGCCAGCACGGCCAGGCGACACCTCGCTCTCGCTGTGGTTTGCATGCTCCGTGGCTTCGCCATGCTTCCCCCAGTCTGTTGCCCGGCCCTTGGCCAGGCTCGAAAAAAAGAAGCGTGTCCGGCGAGGTGCCATTCGTCGATGCACGGCTCCCGTAAACCTGGCAGCTCCGACACCAGCGAGCTCCATCAAAGCATGAGACCAGAGGAGACTGAATCGTGACCATGCCACACGCGTGCTTCCGAATGGAGCCGCTGATCCACGGGCCTCTGGCCGCGATTGGCATGACTTGCAGTTGGCAGTGCGCAAGAATAGAAAAATCCGAGGAAGCTGCACTGCCCGGTAGATCGCCGGCTTTGCCTGACCGAGCTGAGTCGGCACTCGCAGTCGCTCTCACGTTTGGGTGAGCAAGGCGGCCTTGGGACTGGCCAAGCAGCCAAGCGCGAGTCGAGTCGGCGACGCGGCCCGAAAGCTTCCATGCTCAGGCACATGCCTGTACCAATCTGCATGCTAAGGCCCTGCATCAGGCAAGTTAGCTACAAGGTTACATGACACATACCAGTACCTGCAGGCTGACACTGTTCGGCTCAGCGTGTCCACAGCATGCGCAGGGTACCTCCACATCCCACGCCCATGGCCCATGCAGTGCTACTGCAAAAGCACCGTGTCCCGACGGGATCCCGATACAGACCCACATTTGCGGGGCACCCTGATCTCGAGGCAGAAAGGTCGACCTCGCATTCACATGCATAATCATAAGAATAGAAACAGACTTGAAACATCAATCTTGTAGCATCCACAATAGCCGCTGTCTTAGCATCGCACCGAGGAGCCCTGCAAAGGCACCTCGGTCGAAACACTCACGTGAGTACAAACTTGAGCTCCACATACTCCACAGGACATGTTTCGCATCATGCGCAGCCTTCACTTCTTCTTCCAAGCTCTCACATCCCTCGTGATCTTGCAGATTCCTTTTGGCGAACTGCAGTCAAGGCACCACTTGCACTGAGCGGCTCAGCATGTCCCTCGGCAGCTGCGTGTAGGGACTTGCTGGCAACGGCAACATGCTTCCATCCCTCCCTCGGGGAAAAGACGTGCTCAAGGTCTTCACGGGACTCGGCACACCTCCACACTCTGACCAAATGTAGAGGCAAAATTTCTGCGAAACTCTGGCTGCACTGATGCCATGCATGGGCCTGAGAATCCCGGTTCAACTGCTGCACGCTGCACCCATACAGGCTGGCCAGACTGGTTGGGCAAGCACAGGCGAGGAACCTGAAAAAAGAGAGAAAGGATGCTCCGTGTCACTTCTAACAGCGAAAACAGGGAATTCATGGTGGCCTGCGGGTGGTGTGACACCAGTTGCACGGGAGCCCTGCATTCAAAGATACTGTGGCAACACTTGCAGCAGAAACTGTACAGGACCACACCCACCAGTTCACCATGAGATTCATCAAGCATGCACTTCTGAAACAAGCAGGCGGATCGGCAAAAAATCTCGAGAAGTCAGAAGGCTGATGCAAGCTGTCAGATTGAATGCATCGGTGGCACCTCGCTATCACGCCGCTTGCCGTCCTTGTGGAGTATGCCCTTTCCAGTCACTTGGAGATGGAACCATCAATAAACTTGCTGCCGGTTCTGAGACCAGCCTTTGTCCCGTCAGAGGAACATGGGACCCATGGGACCAGACCAGCCTGGACAGAAGCTTCAGCAGCTCTCAGCATCAAACCAAGGAGTGCAAAGCTTTGAATGCCTTGGAGGGGAAGGACCACGCAACGCTGCGTTCACCTCGCAGGATGACCAGGGCATGCTGCTTTGCAGAAGTCATCTGCAACAAGAGGAGGTCAGGAGCCAGGAAGGGAAGCTGCCACTCATGCTGCAGCGCGACTCGGCAGTGTACTCCGTTTTCCTGCTCCGGTCCGTGGAGAAGCAGAAAGGTTGGCCAGAGTCGATCTCAACCCGAAATTGCCCACTTGGCTTTGCAGGACGCACCGGGGTCAAACTTGCCCTGCTGTCTCAGCCCAGAGTTGGCCCGGCCAAATTGCTGTTTTCGAAGTGGTTGCGCAGGTAGCCCGGGGACGAAGAGCACCATATCCTCCACGAGGCAAGCGAGCAACAGCACAATGGCACCCTGTCATGGTTCCACCCGAGGAACTCGGAGTTCATCTGGCGCCGCGAGCAACTGCGGTGCGAAGCTCAGACCAAACCAATCGATGCCACAGGTCGCAGCGCGGCATGAGCGTGGCCATGTTTGTCGCCTGCACTCGAGCACGAGAGGTAGCGGAAAATGGTAACACACGAAGATGTAGGGAAGAGGGCACAGACAACCCCGCCTGGCTGCCAGATGCTGCAAGGACATCATCTGTAGGTAGAAGGAGCTCAGCTCAGTCAATCCTCCTCCTCGTGGCCACTCCACTGCCGCAGAAGTCTCGACATCCTGGGCCGATCTTGACATGTTCCGATCCCGAAGTTGAAACGCCAAGCAGAGAAACGACAACAGACTGAAGAGTGAAGCAAGTGGCGCAGGGATGCGAGATTTCTTGATCGCCACCCTGAGCATCGCACTGCACTCTGGCAGCTGGCAGCGCTGAAAAAGAGCACCGTCAACCAGCTGAGATGGGCCGCTCAATGTTGGCGCCTCCCTCCCAAAGAATTCGCATTAGTCCTTCCGACCTGCCAACCCACCAGAAGGACACATTCCATGACATGCCACACAATCATGGTCATGGATGGGCCGCTAAGCTGCGAACTGGCGGTTGCAGGCTTTCAGCAAAGCCGTCTCTCCCTGCCACACTCAAGTCCGAAGCACTCTTTCTTCGGAGCAAGTGGCAGTGTTGCGTTGTCGCACACCGTACTATCCTGTGCTGACTGTGCTGTGCTGCAAGTTCCCCGAACTCCTTGTCATCTTGCGCATCGGGATTGGCACGGCTCTGCAGCAACCACCTGTCTCATACCAACACTCCGGTCAATAGGGGCACGGCATGCAGGACGGCTCAAGGCTCAGGCCACGCAACATCGTCAAGGCCACACTCTGCGGCAAACATCAACACTCTGCGACCACCTTGTCCCCGAACCTTGCACAATACATGCCGTACGCTTGCTAGCCTCTCCAAGAGACTGTCGCATCGGCTCGCTGCTTGCCTCTAAATCTGCACGATGCCTCGCCAAGTGGATCAAGGTGTCCCACCTGCATGGCTCGGCCAGCGGACCTACGACAGATGACTGAAGTATCAGGTTTCTGAGCTCTAAGCTGCGACGTCTCCGCAACGCGCAGAATCACCGGCTTGGCGGTTTTGTTCTCAACCACCTCTGTCAACGGAGGTTCCGTGCAAGAAGAGCGTTAACCCATGACGGCGAAGCTCCTGAGTACTGCTTCGTGACTAAGAACTGGGAACACCGGAGATCATAGAAAGCACCAACGATGAATCGAGCCGAGACTCGTTCGGGTCTGCCAGGGCTTCAGCCAATCGCCTCCTGGAGCTGTGCAGCAGCGACGGACTTCGCCGATCTGCTGTAAATCGCTGGGCCGCGCGCAAGGCCATCCAGTGCTGATGGCGAGCAGCTGCCAACAAAGCCGTTTGCCCATCAACGCTGCGGAGCTCCAACCTGTTTGCAAGTCGCGCATGGAGTCCGCGTCAGTATGCACACGACCCGAGCCGCTCACGAGGCTCTGCAATCGATCAAACTGGACACGGCCCGAGACTGGCCTGCATTCTAAGCAGGTGAGCTCTCAGCGAAACTTGGCTAAGTCGACGGCCTTGACTCGCGGCAAGAATCAACGCCGTGCGACCTTGTGGATCAGCAGCATCCGTTTGTGCACCTCAAGACATGGCTGCAAAAGCCAGAGCATGTTCCTGAGCACACGAACGCAAAAGAGGAGCCGGCGCAGCTCAAGCAACTGCTGGAGCGCGGCCCACCTTACATCCGCTTTGGCACTGCAGGTGGAGTGGGCAGTTCTGCGCAGGTGCCTCTTGTTCAGCGCCGCGGCAAGCAGAGGTGCCAAGCCTGAGCTCTGCATCGAAGCTGACTGCGAATAACACCGGTGACGCATCTTTGCACATGAAGTACACAATGGATCCTGTGGCAGGCACCATTCTCTGGACTCAGGTCCTTCCAGTTGCAACATGTTCGATAAAGCTTTTCTGTGACTACTGTCGTCATTGATCAGGAATCCCCCGAACAACACGATGATGATGCTGACAGTCTTTGCCAACATTGTTACAACGCTTCTCCCAAAACCCCTTTCGTGCCGCTGATCTGACTTTCGATTCCTAGTCCTAGAACCTGAAAGATGGCACCATGGGACAGCAGGGGGTCGTCCACTGTAGCAGCGCATAGAATCACGGTTGCTCCAAATACGTCTCGTGATGATTTCTACCAGGAAGGTTTCCGGCAAAACAACACAAGGACAGTACCTGCGAGCACATGGGAACGTTGAAGTTCATGGATCGGAATCCAGCTATCGGGGACTCATTTTCAGCCTGTGTGTCTCGCTCACGTCTTGGAATTGGCCAGCTTGTCTTCGACAGCTCATACAAGCAGATAGAGCACGCATGAGCTACGTTTAGCGAGTGGCCCTGCTGCTGTGGAACAGAGACTCGTCGATCACATAATTGAGTGATCTCATCAGAAACACCCAAACCTTCGCTGCCAACCACAAGTGCCCACCTCTTGTCACCCAACGGCTCATGTGGCGCAACCGGCTCAGAGAATTGGTTCTCCGCCGCATAGACGCATGTTCCCAGATCTTGCAGCTCGAGAATCGCTTTCGACAATGGCCGTGCGGCATGAAATTTCATGCGGTACATCCAGCCCATGGAAACTCTGCAGGCCCGCCCGTTGAGGCAACCCCAAGTTTCTGGCGATGCCACCACTGAGGTTATCCCTAAGTGGTATGCAGTCCGGAGGACCTGCCCAACGTTGCTGGCAGAATTCAACCCATCCAAAATCACATACGGAGGGTCCAGCAAGGAAAGCGAAATGGAAGGTGGAAAAACGACAGCAAACCTGCAAGTGCTTTTTGCCGCTCCACCCTCGTATCGTCTCCAAGCAGACCTCGTCGTAGCATTGCTTGTCGCCATGTCTTTTGTCCATGGAACCTCCTGCCGGAACCCTTGAAGAAGAAGTTCGGGCTCCATTACGTACACTGTCGGTGCCACTTCCGATGCTAGCGCCAACAGCTCGTCCGGGGTATCAAGCCTGAGAATCACAAAACCTACAGCATCAAACAAACACACACACACACACGAAGCAGCTGCTCATCTGCCAAACTTGAAGTGGTTCACACAGGTTTGCACACATGCAAGCATCCTAATAACAAGATCCCACGCCCCATGGGCCGATGCTGCTGGATTAGCGCAGGAACGGCAGAAGCACAGAAGCGACGTGTACGGGGAAGCCAGCCGAGCGTGCCTCCCGCAGTTGCCCCAGACAGTCCCAGCTGTAGTGCACCTAGCATGGCATCAGAAACACACGAGAATAACGAAAACCTGACTATCAAGATATCCAAAGAAGCCTTGCACCCACTGCTTTGGTCCCATTATGTCCCATTGATCACAGCCTGGGGACATCTACCAAAAGGCCCATCTTCTTCATGGGCTGCAGCCGCTTGGGTTGGCCACGATCAGTGTTGGCACAACCGCCTGTCAAAGGTTCTCCAGGCCAACAGAACAGAGTGCCGCAGTTTGAGCACAAAAGTCAAGCACTCAGACATAGCCCCACCTTCAATTAAACAGGCCCACCCACCCAGTCACGGCACGAAAGCTATGGCCATACACCCAAAGCACCTATGGCGAAGCGCTGCCGAGATGCTTGTGGAGCCGGTCTGCAGAAAGTCCTCCGCCAGCGCCCTGATCTGGGCATCGTATGCTGAGGCATTCCGCACGCTGCGACCTTTGTAGATTGCAACCCGGAGATCATCGGGATCCGTCACCTGCAGCACTTGGTCCCTGTGGCTCGTCACATGCCGGGCAATCTTCGGGCATCGTATGTGGCCATGCCACGGCCTGGCATGAATCAGAGCTGAGCTGGCCAGCGGAAGCGCAAGTAGGGCAGATGCCTTCCGACACGGGTGCCAGACTCTTCTTCCGTCCATTCGCATGCTGTTCATTGCATCTGCTACTCGCAGGTCCGAAGCTTGAGCATAGAAATCGAGAGACACGCGTTGCAGCGGAATGCAAGGAGGAAAAAAACGTGATCCTGTGTCCCCGAAAAGATCTAGCATCCTCAACCTAAACCGCTAGCGATGCAGTGCACTGGTTGAATGACCCACTGGTTGCAAAAGCATGAAGGTCCACTAGACTCTACGTCTTGGCTTTAGACGGTCGGGCATGCAACAAGTCCACGGGTCCAGATCGGCGCGCGCCGTGGCCAAGGTTTGGAGCATTGCTGTCTGCCCCGCGGCTGCTGCTGCCGCCACGGCGCAACTGCCGCCGTTTCCACTGGGATTTTCCAGGGGTCCCAGGGCATTGGGTGAGGCCTTCTGCAAGCACAGGAATGCTACCAAGTCTCGCTCACCTGCCTTCACTGCTTGGAAGATGGCACGGTTCCCACCATCTGTGTCACTAAGGGCAGCTCGCAGTTCGACCAGCCGCCGCACCACCGGCCATCGCTCAGCGATTGCTGCAGCTGTCAATGGACTTGGCGAAGCCATCGAAGTTGTGCTGGTCGCGTCCAAGCTTCCACCAACTGCTGCGCGGCACATCACTAGCAGCTCCACAACCTCGTCAGGCTGCAACACGACACACGTTTCCGAAAAGCTCTAATCCGTGCCTCCATGTTTCCCGTTTCGGCCGCACATGCCAGTGCCGACATATGCTTTTTGCGAGTCGTATAAGGCCTTACCCCACGGAGTTCGCACTCTAACGCGGACTTGACACGTTGTCCAGTGGGGCCCCGGCATATCCAGGTCACACCTACCGTCTGCCAGACACTGCACCAGTTCCACAAGTCCTGTTCCTCGGAGCCCGCGAACTTGCTAGGTCTGCGTATTGCTCGAAGCGTTTCAAGGAGCAGACGGCGTGTCATGGCAGCTGCAAGGGCTGTACAGCCTGCATCATCCTGCACCCATTGCACCACATTTGCGAGCCGTGAGAAAGGACTATCCGCCCAGCCCATGCCTTTGCGTTCAAGTCAGCTCTCTGTCGCGCCAGCTGGCGAAGCAGTTCCTCTTGATTGGCTTCTACCTGGCAATACTGCGTCCCCTGCACTGGGCAACTCAAGTGCACGCAAGCATGTGGGCGGCAATGATTCTTCCAGAGCCTGGATTAGTCAGGCTGTGCGCTCTTCATGTCTGCCAGGTTTGATCCGTTCTTGTTCTCATCTGTTGCTTGAAGGTAATTTTCCGTTTGCTTCGGCACAATCCAGCCTGCTCGCGTGCACGATGTTCTGTAAATATAAGGGAATAAGCCTTAACATGCTGCAACAACTTCCTGCAGCAGTGTTACATCATGCTTCCCGGATGGCCACCCTGGTTAATTGGATGCTCATATGTCTAGTCTTGACGAGTTGAGTACACAGTCACACTCACACACGTCACTGGAGGCCGACAAATGCTTGACAAGCTTCTGCTGGCAGCCAAACATGCCAGCACTACCGCGAGCATGGTCACAGTTTTGCCATCGAAACGACGAGCATTTGTTTCTGCTGCTGCCTGCACAGAAATGGGCTGAGCTTTCTGCCGCCTCCAAGGGCCCCTGGCCTCCAGCAGCAGGTCAACAATGCTCCATGCGCTGATCTCGGCCTTGGAGCTCAAAATCGCAGTCTGCATCGAAGCATCGGGTATCACAGACACCTCCCAGGATCCCCTTGCACGGACGACTGAACTCTATTTTCTGCAGGGCAGAGTCAGCGCCAAGTGCTCACTTTGGCTCGTCCACCTCCTCCTTGGAGTCCTGACAGCTCTCGCTTTGCTGCAGCCTCCATGTCCTGCAGCGAAGCAACCGGCCAAGGATCTTCACGTGTGGAAGTCTCGATGCCAATCACTTTGGACGGCACGGGCCTCAGCTGCAAAATGCCACTTTAACAATCCCTTCGTCAAGAAGACAGTGCACTGCAAACAAGCAGCACGATCATGTCGAGGTCGCTACTCATATTTCACAGCAGGGCCGAAGGGATCCGTGTTCCACCACTCTCCAGGAATCTTCACTGCACCTCCGGCAGTGCACGGGTACGGTGTCAACAGTCTTAACCTTCATCGGCAGATTTGTTCAAGCCTCCGTAGAGCAAAGAACTGCCGACCACCAGAAGACCACCGAAGAAGAACGAGATGTGGACTTCAAAGCCGAAGCACACGACTGACAGAATCCTCAGAAAATCTGAACCCTGTCGGTGGTGCATGAATGGGTATCGGCAGCAGGAATTCTGCTGAGGCTCGTTGTCAGAACCGTGGCCTGCAAGCCGTGGCTCATGTCACGACAAGTCAGAACACCGTACTTCGCGGCCATGGGCCAGCTTTGAGGCAAGCCACCAGAGCTGTTGAAAACCCACGAAGTATGTTGTCGGCATGCTTGATCACCAAGGCGACCAGCAACCCGCCTGCTGCCCATTCTGTTGCAACACTCCTAGAACGTTCTGTACGTATGTATGCATGCATGCA